TTTTCTTTTTTGTATAAATAATAAATAAATTACATAAATAATGACTTAGTTAAAAAATTGTCACAAGGTTTTTTTAGTATATATTTTTAGGTCTTCCACTCGGAGGACCATTTTTAGTGCCATTTTTACCTGCCCTTCTTTCTCGTATACCTATTAAATAAACATTGACTTTGGTTAAAAAATATTCACAGAGAATTTTTAGTATATTTTTAGGTGTTCCACTTGGAGGACCATTTTTAGTGCCATTTTTACGTGCTCTTCTGTTCTGTGTACCTAATAAATGAATTAAATAAATATCGACTTTGGTTAAAAAATATTCGCAGAGAATTTTTAATATATTTTTTGGTCTTCCACTTGGGGGACCATTTTTATTTCCTCCTCTTCCATGCAGTACTTGACGTTTCCTCAAATAATCACACAGAATTGTCCTTTAAAAGCGAATCCTCTAAAATTCGATGAATTTCTCTTTGTTCCAGACTCCTGAGCAGCACGCTGCTGCTCATATCCAGCAGCGCGTTCGTAATCGCGGCGGAGCAAGCAGTCTCGAACTTCGAGACGGTGCACACGAGTAACGCGGCAATCTTGAATCGGCTTGGTCTCGCGCCTCTTCAAATCCCCGATGGCCATCACAAGAAACGTCTAGCGGGTCCCGAACCACCTGGATTAAGCTCTCAAACACGTATTCATCAGCCGTACAGTCGTCGTCACGGCCATCGCGACAGCCACGTCTACATAGTGAAACTTCCCGCCAGTCCTCCCTACTACACCATCACCAAACCCCATAAATCCGTGAAGGACGAGAAGGTAACGAAAACAGGCCCGAATTTCCCGGTAGGATTTCAGGGGAACGGTAAACCGGCGAAGATCTACCATTGGAATCTGCCCGTGGTGAAGAAGATCGGCGAGAAGAAGAGGCTTCACACTCAAATGAAGATGGAACTGGCGAAGAAGAAACTCGACGACGCGAAGAAGTATCAATCTTCGTCGTCGACGAAGAATCACCAGGAGAATAATAGCCATCAGAGCGGCTCGAAGACCAGTCAAGATCCTCGTTTTGACGACAACAACAAGAAATACTTGAGCTCTGAGAACAAGATGATCGGTGTTCGTCAGAAGTCGAGTCAATCGAAACACGTGAGAAACAACGACAAGAGGCTGAGCTATCCGGAGCAGCACGAGGAGAAGAAGAACGAATCGTTGAAGAAGAGCAACGCGAACACGAGCAACAAAACTTACAGGCTCGACGATTCAGGTGTGCACAGGATTCACCTGACGAACGAGCTTCACGGCTCGAGGAACACGGCGAAGGTGAAGAAACACCGGAAGAAGGCGGCCATGTCTTACTACGCGCCGATAAGTGGCAAATCTGGCTCGACCAGCATCCACAAGAATTTCCCAGGAAACGGGAAACCAAAAGCGTTCTACGTGATGGAGAAAAGTCGCAAGCCTGTCTATTATCATCCTTTATTACCTTAATCCGTCTGTTCGCCAAGAAAAGTGTGTCTCTGTGTGTGTGTGTGTGTGTGTGTAATGGGCACGTTAGACGGTGTTAACGGGCGGTGTGTGCTTGTTAGCCTAAGTAGTCGCGGTGAGACGAGAGAGCCAAGGGCCACGTCGTTACACGACGACGACGACGACGACGACGAAATTTTTTGAGAGGGTGAGAGAGGAAGAGTGAATGAGGTGAATGGTAAGAGTGTGAGATGAATGAGAAATGTGTTTACGGATATTTCGTTCAGGATGGAATTACAGTGGTCGTTAGACGAGGCCACGCGTACCCTGCAGAACCGTTCCACTTCTGTTACAGTTGTTAGGAGTATTTAGACTAGGTTGTCCGAGACTGCTTTCCATTGGAAAGGAGAACCACTTACATTTTAGGGATAGTTTAAGGACACTTTTGCTACGCCTCGACTGAGTTCACACGCGGTATATTAGAGAGGGAAGTGTCTCCAAGTCGAAATCACCGATTTTTCACGAAACTAAATTTCACTTGAAATCGATGGTTTACGTTTGGGGAAGTTTCTCTCGTCAGACGAAGAGGGAGAAAATGTTGGGAGTACGATCTAAGCTGCTTCTTCCACCTTCCTTTGCCTCGAATTCACGGAAGGCGCAGCTAAGATCGATCCTCCTGATCGCTACGTTTAACTTGTATAATATATTTTTCTAAGTTCTAACAGATACTTTTTCTAACGTAACGTCGAATGTGTGCCGTTCTAACAGACCGTCGTCGTACACCGGCCAGATTGCTTTTACGGGAGGCGAATTTTCTTCACTCCTGTTTCGCGGAACGACCGTGCCCCATTTTGTAGCAATTGGTCACGTTAAGCGAATCAGCACGAAAGACTGGACAATATTATTACTCTTCACGACGGGGGATGTACATGCCTTTTTATACGTGTAACCGTGCTAAAGCGACGTTTTTTACTCGGTTTTTCTACTCTGATGAATTTGCAAGATAGCGCGAGAGCAGCAGACAATTTTTTATATTCTTATATTAATGCGTTTATAGAAGGAGGGGAAGCTCAATTGTATCTCGAACCATGGCATTCAGTGTAGTGTAATAAAAAAGGAAAAGTATTTATGGTACTATTGTACAAGTGTATAACGTTGCCTGCTCTGTGTGTTGTGTGTGTAACAACCATCGTGTTAAGAAAGCGAAGAGAAGAAAAGAGGCGAGAAGAGAAGAAAGTATTGTTCCTTTTTTATTTCATTTCTCTTACGAATTAGAATTTTCGTAGAGTCTTAATCGTACGGTAGAAGGAATGAGAACCACTTTTTCAACCCGTTACACGGTACATTTAGCGATAGCATCGAGGATCAAGCAGAGCCCTTTGCCTGGAGGGCCACATATTTTGGTAATTGACCAGGTAACTCTTTCTCTTCCTTTGTTCAATGATCGTTCCATCTTTTCCTTAGCTTCTTACCGAGCCCTTTGTGTCATTTCTGACGAGGATCAGTCCTAAGTGTTATAAGTTAACACGTTAGGTGACAGTTGGTGGAAATGGATGTTACTCTTGGAATCCGTTGCTCGGGTAAAATATGTGCGATGGAAGAATTGAGTGTGAAGCAGGTATGCTGCGAAAATTTGAATATCGGGCGCAGAATCTGAAATTCGAGTACTTGGAATATATTCGAATTATCTGAATAAAGAATTCGTGCTGGATATTATTCGAAATTATTCGAACATTTGAAATACTCGGCTCAATCCGACATTCAAACCTTTCGAATTATGCGGATGAAGAATTCGAAACGATCCAGATTATTCGAATGATCCGAATAAAGAATTCCTATTCGAACATTTGAAATAATCGGCGAAATTCAAACGTTTCGAATTATCCGAATAAAGAATTCGCATTCGGAATTATCCGAATTTTCTGAATAAAGAATTCGTACTCAAAATGATCCGAAAAGTATTTCAATGCGAAACCAAAGAAATTTCACAGCGATGGCGAAATTTGTAATGCTCTGTATTTGAAAATAGTCCTGAAAAATTCTCATCGTTGAAATGGCAAACGATCCGTAAATGAATTATTTTTCAATTTAGAAAAGAGAAAACGAAAAATCTGGTTTACGGATATACTCGCGAATGTGTTTGATAATTAGAAGACTGCGATCTCCGTAGAAACGTAATCCATGGGAAGAAAGGGTTGGATCTCTATTGAAGAGGATCGAGGAGCCAGGGAAATTCAGATTCCATTTGAAGTAGCTTTTTCCGGGATGTCTGGCGGCGGTGTTATCATGATCTTTGAATTCAATCTCTTTGAGCAAGTAGCGTAGATCGCCAAGTATTCCGGTAACCAGACAGAATATAATTCCCGTGCAGACTCGCGTCCCAAGTCAATATTTGTGTTACGCCAGAGCGGGGAGGAAACATATGAAACACGTTTTCTTCCTCGACGGAGAGCTCTGGAAGATCGGCTTGGTTATATGAATTTCTGGCCAAAAAGAAAGAGGAAATTACACTCGATTCCAAATTTTCTTGTATTTCTCACACGTATTTACAAGGTACAAAAGGAGGGAATTCTTAATAAAATATATATAAATATCGCTTTACACATAAATATACCTAGAAAAAGATGCTAGTATAAAATCTTCCACTTGAAACGAAACGTCTCGCCATAGTGATTTTTCTCGCAGTACGAAACGAAAATAGTTGATTAAATCACAGAGTGTTTCAAAAGAAAAAAAAAAAAGAATTAATTCTATTTCTCTGAAAGAAAATCACCTCTATAAAAATGTCAACATTTTTCTTTCGGAACACCCTGTATATAACGCTGTCGTTTGAGCAAAATAGTCGTCGCGTTCTCCTCGTTAACTCGTTCCTCTCTGCGCGTAAATCAGCTACCTCTATAAATACCCTTTTAACGTATTCGTTAATTAATCAACGTGTAATTAGATGTCGAAGTATTGTCCGTCTATAAATAGAAACGCTGTACAATTTTACATTATATAATTGCACAGATCTCCTCGTGAAATCGAGTCCCGATCGTGATTAAAACCGTGATAAACACGGTCTGAACGATAGAGGGTGGATAGAATTGAAATATCGCGAATTGGAAATCAAGAGAGAGAGATTCCGCGTTACCTCTTATTATTATATCATTCGTACCTTTTCACTCGTTCGATCAATCATTTGTCGCGTATATACCGTACGATTTCTTCTTTCTTCTTTTACTCTCATAATGCGTTTACATGTATTAAACGCGTTTCGGACTTAAAGAGTATGAAAGAGAATAAGAAAAAGTGTGGAGGAATCTCTCCGTTAAGAAGATCCATCATCGCGAGCACGACGAAACTTTTTAACAGTCCTTTCGACGATCCCCTTGTAATCATCTCGGTAATAACCTATACTCTTATATGCAAATGTGATATAAATCACCGGCGAAACAGCGTGTACTTTTCATTCGGTTGCTCCGCAAGTTCACAAGTGCACACATTTTTACCGGCTTCTCCGGAAAATTCGTGGCGATTTTTTCAGAAAACCAACTTCCTCTTTGGAGGATTTTTGAGATTTTCTTTTAAAGAAATTTGTTCGTCGGAAAGTTTGAAACTTTGCGAACGTGTTTCTCATACTTCGAGGAAGCTACAGGAAAAAATATTTCGGCGGAATATAAGAAACTTCATGGAGCCCATGCAAATTTTCTCCGTACAAAATCATCCAAAGCGAAAATTTCAAAGAAATCGTCGATTTAAAGTGAACGTATAGACTCCTTAAGCAGAATTTCCAATTTTTTACAGAATACCTTTCAGTCATAGGGTAATTCCGGGAGAGACGGACCAGGCAAGTATTTCCTACATTATCCGCCATGTGTGGAACGCGTCAGTATTCTTTTGTTTTACGATTTTACTCGTTGTCTTTTGTTCCATATCTGGCGGATAATGTAGGAAAGACTTGCCCGGTCCGTCTCTCCCGAAGTTACCCTAATCTTATCAAAAAATCAATTTTCCTCAATTTTCAAAAACTCCCAAATTTACACATACTTCCACAAATCTTCACTTTTGAGGTCCGTCTCCATTCACAGTCACAACGGAAGATCCTCAGCATCTCCCCGACACAAAAAAAATCGTCTCTCCATCGATCCAGACCGTACAAAAAACCACAACAAACACCTAATCAACAATCTCAGAGTTTCTCTCCATCGTCAATTTACCATACGAAACTTCTTCACCTCTCCTCCCTCTCTTCAACCTCGCTAATTCAAATCCATCATCATCATCGTCGTCAACGTGGTCGCGCAATCAAGCCCCGGCAATTCCTAGGATTCGAGGTTGTTTCGGTAGCAAGGATAGTTAACCACCGCTAGTTTCCTCGGTCTCTCTTCAATAGTACGAATTATCCTGCTGGTAGTCCGGGTACCGTAATGGCTGATGCGCCGTGCTGGTACCGTCGGCTTTCAACAGAAAGAAACTCGTCGGTTTACCATTGAACGTGTACGGTCCCTTGTCCAGGTTGTTAACCAAATCGTCATTCTTGTTGATCGGTTTCAGATTGCTCTGCCATTGGTAGATCGACGTTGGTTTCCCGTTGCTCACGAACTCGGCCGACAAACTGTCCAGATTCGTGATTGGGCTGTCTGTTGGTTTCTTGTTCGTCTTCTTCTGCCACTGGTACACGGACGTTGGTTTCCCGTTGCTCACGAAATCGATGGGCAGCTTGATGAAAGGGTTAACGGGTTGCTGTTGTTGTTGCTGGTAAGTTGGTTTCGGTCTTGCAGGCCTGACGAAAGGGATTTGCGGTCGGAGACTCGAGGTTGAGTAAGTCGGTGGTTGAGAGATGTAACCTAAACCAGGGACGAACATGTACGGTGTAGGTGGTAGTCTTATGTAGAAGATGTTGCTCTCTTGGAAACTGTTCGAATCGCCTATCGTCGTCCTTTCCTCCGTGTCGAAATTGTCGCTGGGATAATCGACGTCGTACGGCAGATTGGAGAACGGAAGTTGCTGTTGCACCAAAGGATAATTGTAGAGAATGGCCTTTTGTTTGCGATGTTTCTTGGACAATTTGTTATTAGAAGACTCGTGTGATTGTAGGTTGCGCTGCGGATCGCCGGTGTCTGATTCAGTTCGATTGTCCCGGTCGTTGAGAATTGAAGAGGAGAGCAATGAGGTTCTCGAATCTTTCGTTCCGCTGTCGGTCTTCTCTGATTGGTTTTTTGTTCGGTGATTCGTCGCGTCCTTGACGGTGACAATCTCGGTTTCCGTGGAAACTCGAGGCTCGTCCTTGTCCAGAGGGAACAACGTGTCCTGAGGATACGGTGCTGCCGAGGAAGACGCCATTAGAGAGAGGAATAAAAGCAGCGTGCTCCTCATGATGACTGGAAAGAAAGCAGAGACAGAATTTTATTTTTCTTCGATTTCTCCGCAGTTCAAATTTTTTGGATTTTTTTTTTTTACGTGAATTTGTTAATATCGTAGTGTAAACGAAAGTGATTGGAAGCGTGGTGTGACTTAGGGCACTTTGGTAGTCGCAGGTACATTTCTGTGATTTATCGGAGAACCGTAAGGATGAAATGCGTGTCCGAGGGCAATTGTGATGATTCATACAGGTAGAATGGTTAATCGTCGAGTCGTTGGAGTTACCTGGATGGCTAGATTAAGAGAGAATTGAGAGAGCTCGGGCTTATGAGTATTTACGACGCGTTGTTACTTTAGCTGGGGAAGCAGATTAAGTTATTAGCCACGGTGCGGAGAAACTAATGGCTCTTTCCTTTTTTTGCTAGCTATCTGAAATAAAAAATTTAAAAAAATTGAATTTATCGTTGTTTTTTATTGCATCGAGTTACGTTGCAGTAATGTGCAATCGTTTTCGCAAAATAGTTAAAAATTAGACAATTCGCCTAAATATCTATGATAAAGGAGCATCTCGAAGTGATAACGACCGATAATCTGTAAGACGAAAACCCTAAAAAAAATTGAATTTATCGTTATTTTTTATTGCATCGATTTACATTGCAACAATTTTCGCAAAATAGTGAAAAATTAAACAATTCGTCTAAATATCTATGATAAGGGAGCATCTCGCAGTGATAACGACCGATAATCCATAAGACAAGGATCCTAAAAAAATTGAATTTTTCGCTATGTTTTGTTGCATCGAGTTACGTTGCAATAATGTGCAATCGTTTTCGCAAAATAGTGAAAAATTGAACAATTCGTCTAAATATCTACGGTAAGAGAGCATCATCGAAGTGATAACGACGCTTGAATTATTCGCAAGAAAATAATTCCCGTATATCGTCAACATTTTCCATAATAAATACAGATCTCAACGTGCACGAGGTCTTTATGAGCCCATCGTCCTCAAAGGGTTAAGGTTCTCCGCCTGCTATAGTAGTCCGTACGAGGATCTAATGTGACAGAGATGACGTTAAGCGCGTAGAACACGATGCTGTTGAAAGATAGTCGCGACGGGAGCATATAATCGGCAAACGAGCCAAAACAAATCGTCGTTTCGTCGACTCGTGGAGACGTGTCCACTCGAGGATAACTCGTTTTCTCTTCAAGCCACGCCATCGAACTCTCTCCTCCTCCTCCTCCTCTTCCTTCTCCCCAACTTCTCCACCTGACGTCCTTTTCTCCACTGCTATTCTTCGTAGACCGACGTCGAATAAATCACGTGTCCCCGTGGTCGGTATAAGCGAAAAGGAGGAAAAAGACGGTGAAAAGAGGGTTGGAGGCACGGTGGTTACGAAGAGTGGTGGGGGTAAGAAAAGGGAACGCGCTGTGGCTTGGAGTGGGGGGAAAAGGGACAAACTGTCCGCGTGGCGGCATTTAGACGGTGCGCGTGCATTCCGCGCGTCAAGTTTTCTTGTGTTGGCGCGACCACGAGAACCGCGTAGCCAGGGGGGAAATAAGAGCACCAGGAATGGTAATTGAAAGCGGGTTATAAAATCGTCGAGCCCCGCATCCCTGCCGCGAACCTCCTCCTCGAAGGCCTTGCAGAAGGTCGACCATGGAGGGAAGAAGAGAACGATTGGGTGATCTCCATTCAAGCTGGTGATCAAGAAAGGGAGTGGATTTCGTAATAGTTATGCTACTCGTTGTGCTCTCTGTGCGCCTGATGCTCGAATCACGTGGCTTTGATGGTAATTGCTAATTGCAGGATGGTCCGCGCAGGGTGTCTTGATCTCGTATGAAGATCGGAGATTGAATTACTCTTTATGTGGCTTTAGCAATTTCTTTTCGTCTCGTTTCTTTTTTCTGCGGTAAAGATTTACGTGATAATTGTAAAAGGTGATTTTTCCAGTGAACAGAGATCGTATCTTTTTAGCGAGGAAAGAATCTGGTCGATAGATCAATTGCGTTTAGTTTTTACACAATTTTGATTCGAAGAAGTTTTTGTAGATACTTGTTGTAAATTTTGTTTATTCGATCGAGTGTAGTTCGTTCGGTCGGTAATGCGCGATAAGTAAGTAGTAAATTATTTCGTTGGGTTACATCGAAAGCAGAAGCATGGTATTAACGAAGGTGTTGAGTTTCCAGGAGATTTAATGGAACGACCAGTAGAGGTACATTTTGCTCGTTTCTATATGAAGCGCGTGGAACGATTTGATTGATATCCATTTAACGTGCCACGAGAGACTGCTGAGTAATTAAAATCAATTTGGAAGCATCACGAGGTAAATTAGTGCAGTGTTCCCTGCAATTTTCACATTCTAATTAATGTAATTGGTGTGTAACTGGTCGATTTAAAGGATAATTGGAGTCTATCATCATTACGATTAAATAACAGTCTGATTGATACACGATACCTCGTGATTATCAGCGTCAAGTTCTTTTTTACGAGTGGATTCTGTCAGTAAAGTAAAGTGACTACCTTTTCCCCCGCGGATTCTGCAGTCAGCCTGTAGAAACCTGTGTTATCAACACTTGGTCTTATTTTACCTGTCTTCTCGATATTCATTTTGACAAGGTGCTCCATCTGATTTTCACCGTCAGGTACATCGTATCTCCGTGAAATTTCAATTGATTTTTTTATCCATTTTTCTTCGTTAACGTCTATACGTATACATATACTCTCGTGTGACATGACACATTTTAAAGTACTGCAAAAAGGATGTGAAACGTTTATCCCTTTCGTGACCGAATTATTTCTTTCACGAATTTCTTATTTATCTATCGATCGTCGATTCTGTAATGGTTACTAAATTGAGATCAATTTTCGATCGAGTACTCAAGTGTGACGTATTTATCCCATTGGTTACGAAAGGATTAATTCCTTCGTTTTTCTCTTTTATACGTTACGATCAAAAAGAGGAAGCATCCTTGAGGATGATTACGAGAGAAGTTCTTTATCTCACGAACCTCGTCGTTCTCATCGATTATCGACCAAGATAAGTCGAATTACGCAATACACGAACCTCGTTTTTTATCGGCATTCATCTGTTCCGTTTTTCTCGGTCATTTTTTCTTTTAAAAGCACCGCTTGGGTGCACCGTTACTCTGGCGAAATAAAGCCCCATGTACGCATATATGCACGTTCCTTTTTACGGGCATCATTGTCAGGCTCTCGTGACTTGAGAGGCGAGACGAGAATCGAAAGAGTCTCTCGAACGTTTACGAGATGTAAGGTTCCTCCTTCTTCTCAATGAGGCGTACAGATCGCACCTTCGTCACGTGTCATTAGGATTCCTCTCTTCCGTTAGCTTCTGGTGTTGTCTGAATAATTTTCACAAATCACCTTCGCTAAATTGGACAGGAATATCGTAACAGTTCGGTGAAATCCGTTCATCTTTCCAACACCGACAATCAGTCTCGCTTCATTTCCCCCCTCGAATTACAATAATGAATTTTTTCTTTCTAGAAAGTCTCTTCTATCAAAGAGAGGTTATTACTTCGAAAGGTTCAATCGAAGCTCTCTCATGCACGTGCCCGGCATTTTCGATTCACCGAGCCGACTTTCCAACCACGAATTAATGACACCGTAAAAAAAGGTAAATTGCTCTAAAAGAGCATAGATAAAGGTCGTATTTATCGTTGGGAAATGGTGCAAGATTATACGTCAGCGGCGATGATCTTGTCAGTTTTGTCCATGCGTTACGCGAAATCGAAGAATTAATTTATCGTCTGAAGGGTGATTTTCATCGTCTCGTTTTCTACAATGTACCAAGGTTTTGCCTGATCAAACGTTCGATACGTTTTTCTACCTATACTTTCTTTCCATCGCGTAACCTTTAATTTTCGCTCGCGAAAAGAAAGAGAGAGAGAGAGAGAGAGAGAGAGAGAGAGAGAGAGAGAGAGAGTAATGGCTCTGTAATGACAATGCTGTCACATTGTTGACCCGAATAATTGACAGTTAATTGTGGATACGGTTCTCGAAGCGGAAACCAGGGCATTTTTCTCCCTGGTTTTCGACAAAGCGGACGTCGTCCAATGAAAAGCACGCCAGTTGCTATTGAACATCTTTTCTTTTGACGGTGTTGGCTACGTGACTCGGGGCTCATTACCGAATGAAATGGATGTGGAAACTGTTGTGTATGCTCCGTAGTACGCGGACACGAAAGGCAACGATAGTTAGCCTTTAACGGGTTTTCGAAGGAATCCATAAAATTACATCGCGTTTTCCATTTACGATCTAGCTCCTGTTTCGGCGCGATTCTCTCGCAACCCGGTATGGATTTTCGCGAGCAGTTTCGCGGGCACCTTTGTTAATTAGCCTTCGACGTGTAACGGTAGGTAATTACAGGGAAGAGTTTTTTTTTAATAAACAACCGTGGTGGTATATCGTTCCGCGTAGCTTAGTTTTTTACTTCATTTACAGTTTGCCTGAGAATAAATTTTATCGGTGGTACTCCTGCGTTGTGACGTATTAGATTGGGGAAAATTTGACTTTTTTTTTTTCATCTTCTGCGTATTAGAGAATTACCGTACAGTTGCGCGCGCAGCTTGAACGATATTGCGCATCAATATTAGGATCGATATTTCGCAGTTTCGTACTACGCAATTCGTCGAATTTGTGTTAATGTGAAATAATGTAAAGTGATAAGTGATCGAATTATAATATTCTTATTTATTTGCATGTAATAAATGATAGTTGTGGCAATAAAGAACTAGCACAGGCATTCTAACGTTTAATAATACAATTGTGCGTGGATGTTTCGAAACTTGGACACATAACCTCACCTCGAAGTGCGTCTTCCTTTTTGCCTTGCTGCTTTTTACACATAGACGAAAAGTGTCTCATGGAATCTGACAATAAGAGGATGGTTGGTAGCAGACTTTTTTCCCATTATTACGATTAATTACATTACAATGCTGTCGTTGGAATTACGTTCAAGATGATCTCAAGGTGTTTCTTTTTATCGTAAATC